GTTTTTGCAAGTTAAATAAAAAAATGTGTGGGAAAAAMATAATTTTGATAAATAGCAACTCAAAGAAACAGCTTTCAGATAAAAAACAAAGTCATTTTTAACAAAAACTATCATTATTTAATTAGTAAATAAAAAAAATATCTTTCATTTTACGCCAAAACTGCAAAGGAGAAACATTTTGTTCACCTGAAACGAGCAAAATCCAAAATCAAGAGAAAAATTGACTTTTTTTTTGGCGTAAAATCAAAGATAAAAATTTTTTTTCTTTTGTAAAGTCAATCCGGGAACATACTGTATACTAATAAAGATCAAGTACCTGAAACTGGAATTTAAAATTTCACAACAAGAATGTTGATTGAGGTTTAGAAATTAGAAAATGACTAAATCTTCCATAAGCTCATTATTAGTCATTATGCTCAGATAAACCAGGTGCTTATACCAACCCAGTTCCAGAAAATTTTAAAAAACAATGTTTAGTGGTGGGTTTTGCTAAATTTTAGGGTGGTGGTAGGGACTTATATATTGAAAACGTACAATTTTTATAACTTGTGTACTTTTTGATTCTTTGCAGTTTGCTAGTGGCTCTCTTCCACCGCAGTGCTTTGAAATAAGTGATACTTTTTGAACAGTCATATTTGTGCTTTTTTAATTTATAAGTTATTTTATTGGGTATCTATTTAATTAGATACTAAATTAGTGTTATTGTGACCTCTCCTTGGTAAGTGTAATTCCTAATTTCTTATCACTTGTTGAAAACGTTGTATTGAAATTATGGGTAATAATTCTAAACAATTTCATTCAAAAAAAAAAAAAAAAAAGTCGAAAACAAATAATGCGTAATTATTGGAAAAAACAACGAAAAGGATCTAAAACTGATCTTCCAAGTAAATCAAGTCTTGTAAAATGTAGTTTTCAGTCAACTGAATCGAGTTCCGATGACGATGCAGTGTTTATTATTGAGAAAGAAACTAGTCAAGAACAAAATTTTGTTCCAAGTGGTCGAAGGATTGTTGACATAGGGCATTTATTTTTGGAATTAAAAAACTTAAAACATGACATTTTTTCTTGTAGTTTTTTGAACATTAACATCATTCAAGAAACACATTTGGGGTTTAAAAGTGTTTTTAAATACAAATGTAGTATGTGTGGGGCAATAGGAAGTTTTAGTACCGAAAAAGAAAATCGCACAAATGAAGTAAATGAAGCAGCTGTTTGTGGCACAGTAGCAATAGGTGCTGGTTATTCTCAACAAACAGAATTTTGCGCAGCTTTGAACATTCCACAACTTAATAAAAAAACATATATTAAAACAGAAAGAAAAATTTTAGATATTGCGGAAAACGTTGCTTTGGACGAAATGTTAGCAGCCGGTCAAGAAGAGCGTGCATTGGCAATTGAAGCCGGTGAAATTGATGAAGATGGAGTACCTTACATTACGGTTGTCGTAGACGGTGCTTGGTCTAAACGTTCGTATAAATCAAATTACAACGCATCATCTGGTGTTGCAACAATAGTCGGTGCTAGAAGTAAAAAAAAATTATACGTAGGAGGCAAAAATAAAAATTGTAAAAAATGTATGTATTACAAGAAAAAAAAAAACAAACGGCCCCTCCTCATAAATGTTTTCAAAATTGGAAAAATACTTCGACTTCGATGGAAGCTGCAATTTTGTAATACACATAACACAATAACGATAAACATAATATGTGTCTCACCACAAATACCTAGAATCGTTTTTAACACAAAATTAATTTGGCTAATTAGAGCTGTCCGTAAAGACCAACCCATATAACAATTCTCTTCTTGAGGGGTGCAGATGCATATCTTTGCTTTGAACAAACGCAATAAAACGATCATGTTGTGGGTTACACCCTGCGGTGCGGCCCAGCCTGTCATAAATTGTGCTCCAGGTACAGAAAATCGTGTATTATTGGTTGCCTACTTTCAATTTAATTTTTGCTTTATATCAAAGAATCAAGAACAGTTATCAAATTCGCATTATATCAGGGCACTGTATTTTTAAATTACCTATAAACTTTTTTTTTTTAATTCAATACGGTATACCGTTATCAAAAAATCTTAATAATTAAAATTTTCACAGTTTATTCAATAAAAAAATATCTATTAACTTATTTAAAGCGGGAATATTTCCCTGGTCTCCATTTACCTTTAAAGAAACACTACAAACATCAAGAAACTCTTCAAGTCTAAATTTGCGGCTAAAAACAATGAAATAAATTTACATGTAATAGGTATACGCCGGCTTTCAGGGGGTCTGGAGCCTTAAGGTCGCGAAAGTCGATGGGGACGATACTTATTCCCGCGTAGGGGTCGCTCAAATCGAAATTTTACCGAAAATGTTTGGCCTTGAAATGATTTACAACAAGGTTGAGTTCCTCTATGTGATAATTTGTGACCCTCTCGTAAGCTTATGGTCCCAATTCAATAAACGTTATTGCGATTTTTTTCTAAAGCAGGTACCTGCTTACTTGTAGCTTGTTACTAGGTTTTCTGGATTGAAAATATTCAAAGTACTGTTTATCGTTCTTTAACAAGGTCATTTCATTTAGCAATATTCTTTTCGGAGAAAAATCGGAAGGAAACAGAATGACAGTTGTTTGTCTTATATGCTTACGCATGTATGTAGGAAATATTTATGCAAATTATTACTATAATATTTATGTATAAAATTGGTCATCATCTTTCCGCCAAAACAAAATACCAACAAAATAAATATAACGCGCGCAAATTCAAAAACACAAAAAAAAATACTAAATAGCCAGTGATCGTTGTCAAAAGTCAAGGGACCTACGTTGTGTTTGACATAATGGAGGACCAAATCGTTTTAATACACCTGTGTGGGGATTTATATTAGGGGAGTACAAAGCTGCAAACATAAAACAAAAGAGTAACCAAACTGACTACAAACAAAACTTATCATCAAAACCCCAGCTAACTACAACTCATCTCAAATTATTATAACCAAATAAAACTACAACATGTGAAACAAATAAATAGAGGAAACAAATAAAACATGAAACACATAAACCGATGACACAAATAAACAAATAGGAAAGTAACACGACTTTTGCATTGTTACTCCACAAACAAGACTCAAAACAAGTAATGCGCTCTCTAATAGTCTTCACGACATTACCGCCGAGTAAATAGGGGTTGGATTGGGTAAGAGGTCGCTCTCTGTTGTAAAAGCTTTCCTAATTCTGACTTGAAATGATTTTTAATTGTGAGTTGTTAAATTGCAATGTTTGATTGGCTTTCTCTAAACAAAACTGGCTCATGATTCGAGAAATGCTTACAGGACCGAAGCCCGAGCGGCGCAACTACTTGTTATAGAGCTATCAACTGAACCGATACCGCAGCCAGCAGCTTCGTTGGGAATAGATAACTAGACCTACTCTATCAACTGCCTAGTATCTGTAACCTGCAGCTTCGTTTGGAGAATAGTGATTACATTACCCTGGCGACTACGCTTACCAATGGCCCCCAACTACTAGGAATGTAGTAACTTCTTTTATTCTATCAACCGTGCGGTACTTTCACAGCTTCGTTATGGACGAGCGGTCAACCTCGTACTATCAACTGTTACTAATGCCGGAACTCCCAGCTTTGTTTGAATACAAGAGCACACACACTCTTTTCATTGGTCGATATGAGCTTACAGCCCTGAATCACCAGCCAAGCGCCCCCCAGATTGAAAGGGTTAATGGATCAGAGACACAAACAAAACAAAAAAACCAAAGAAATAATTATCGAGACATAAATGTTGTCAATGATTGTAAATAAAGGTGGTGAAACGGTGATAAAAATGTGATGATTGAAAAGTTTACCAGTTATGGTTTTCTAAGTTACAAAATGGCGGACGTCGCATGAGTTAAAATAACCTAGGTTTCCACGGCTTTCAAAATGACGACCATCGTGAATTGAGGTTAGAATCCAACTGTTGAAAGTTTAGATTTGTACATTACCTTTTGTAGTGGACTTTCCTCAAGGGAAAGTCATTTCGGCGGTAAGAAAAACACATTGAGGTGGGCTTGGTCCAAACTATGGTACCAAGGGTTTATTTTTCACTTTGATGTACAAATTTCTGATTTATTCGTACCGGGATTTAAATTAGACATTATTTACATAAATTTACATTATTTAATTTAAATTTTTTAATTTAATTTTTTAATATCCACTGTGGGATAAACAAATTTACAAAACAATGTGACTGACTAATTGAGTTCAACTGCACGCTTCGAAGTGCGAAGTGTCCCTGGCTAGGGCTACCAACATTTCCGGCGTGGTCCACTGAGTGAGTTTTAATTCAAACCGAGTCATCACAGTACCAAAATCATAATGTTATTTACTGCAACTTTGCCACAACAATGAGGAAAAATAAAATCATCAATGAGGGTTTGGATATCCACTACCTGAAAAGAATCGCCGAGATATGTGGTCGGTGCCGGAACTAACAAAAAATCGTTTTTTGAGTTAGTCTCCAGAATGGATAAATATTTTTATCTTACAGGTTGAGTTTTTGAGCTACCTTAGACCATTGTTTTCGGTGATAGAAATCAAATATTATTCACAAGTGAGATAAAGTATTCACAAGTGAGTAAATTTGACAGCTGTCAGTTTTAATTAAAGTTTGTAATTTTGTATTGAAAATACTATTTTGTTACAGAATATTATTTATTCAAAATCTTTATAAACTAGTTGAACACTTTAAACAATTACAAAATTTTTAATTCTTATTAATGGTAACATTAATAGTACAGTTTGTGTTGTTGAAGTAGATTTCTTTATCAGCATTGAAACCTGCTTCCTTGTTCTGTTCCACAATCGTGATTTCATGGTGTACTATACTTGTAGAACTGCTACTCTCATTTCCAAGAATTTTTTTTGCAATACCAATTTTATTTTCTAGAGAATCCTCTACATATGCTTCAACGACAGTGTCACTCTTCCAGCCACCGAAACGCTTCAGATTTCTCACATCGGCACCACAGTCAGACAACAAAGTAGCAGCCGATCTGCAAAATGCGTGTCCGGTATACATTTTGGAGTTCTCTAACTTCAAAAATGTTGCTATCAATTCTGGCATCTTTCCGAAACTGTTAATGCCAACGGGTTGCACCGTACATTTTCCACTTCAATAACAAAGAAATAGTCTCATTGTACTCAATTTCTTGGGGCGCAAATTAATTTATTTGCGATATAAATTGATAGGATTAATTCCAAATCCAGTAGACAACATTGTGAAAGGCCTTTTCTGATGGGTCTTTGTGAAAGGAATATGGATCAGGAGGAGATCGCCTTTGTCTTCTATGTCAGTGATACACATTTTTACTAATTCATCGCATCTACAGCCACCAGCAATTGCGACAACAGCCACAAGCTAAACTCATTATGCTAAAATTTAATACCTCGTTGAGATACATCAATTGTATACGTACTTTGATTAATAAAAACGTGTCATCGGGCGTGTTAAAAAGGAACTTGTCGATTTCATCCCTTGAGAAAATCAATGATTTTTTTGCTTCGTAACCAACATGTTGTTGTTTCAAAAAGGCGGTTAATTTGTTGTACTTCCCTATGTCTACATTCTCATGCACAATTAGGGCAGCTTTCAGCATTTAATACTGCGCCCAAAGAGATGACGACTTGTATTTTCGTGACTATGTATTTATAAAGTACCACATGTATTAATTACATAAGGTAGATAGGTACTACATAACTTACCTTTTGAACAAAATATGCCAATAAAATATCTTCCGAGTTAGCTGCCTTCCACTTTACGAACAGATTATACTCTTTTTCGGATATATCTTTCGACTTTACCGGAAGCAAACTGGAAACGGCAACGTTCACGTCTAATTGGATATTTTCCGGTAAAACATCCATTTTTATAATAACGTTTTACAAATTATGAAAAAAATAACGATATTGTTTATTTCATAACCATAACAATCATTGGTAACTGGGAAAACTGTTACATATTGTCACGGGCCTAAGCTCGTGCAAGGGGTTAAGACAAAGACCAGGGTAGAAAAAATAGAGTTTATTTGTACATAAGTTAAGGGAGTACTCACCGTCATCTTATGAGAGACATCTCTCGTGGTACTCCGCAAATAATGACGAGGGGAGGGCACAGGTCACTATTCGGGTCACTCGCACCACCGCCGCGTAGAGTTACCACCAAAATCAACTAACAACTAACTCCCCCCTCGTATTCCGCCTTCTTTTATTGAGCTTCGATAGGCTGACTCTACCAAAATTATGACCCCTCGCTCCAGTTCGGAACTTAGGAATTCAAATGTTAGCAGAACCAACCTTTCGAAACACAACTCGTTACGGAATACCAGGAAGTTGACCCCCTTTTGTGACAATATACATACAAGCATACTATTATATTTTTATAGGTGAATATTTTACTTGAATGAGACTTAATTTTTTGGATAGTTGCACCTGTAAGATAAAACATCGTATATCACACGTGATCGAAATGCCATTATGAAACTCGTGAGAAGTGTCCCACTCTTGCGCAAGCGCACTCGTCGGTCAAAATTCTCACTCGCGTATAATGATGCATTTCTATCACTTATAATATAACGTACTATTAAAAACGGCAAAAACCGAATCGTTTCAATTGACTAGATCTACTCAAATTGTCAACTCCCCATCAAAAAATTCTTTCCTTTCACGTAGATATCAAACATATCTTTTTAATTAAAAGTCAATTTTTTTCTGAAGTGGGCAATTTGAATAGTTTTTTTTTTGTTTTCATATGCTCCAAGTGCCATTTGTCTACGTATTATGGTTCTCAAGATTAACTCGATCGAGCATTCGAAACAAAGAAACTTTACGTTTTTTTATGTCAGTTGTATGTTTATGTACATTAATAAAATTTGGAATATGATTAGCTAAAGGTATCAACATTAACATATAAAAAAATCAAAGGCGCATCTTTTATAATTTGTTAGATATGTGTATTTAAACTTGACCAAAAACAGCACTTTTTCGCAGAGCGAAAATGTCTTTGTCGAGATATAATAAACCCCATTTTAAAATACTATTACCAAAAAAAAAAAAAAAAATTAGACAAAAACTGAAAACAAGAAATAACATTTTACTAAAGTTAGCTGGTTCGACTTGGGGTGCTAATGCCAGAACTCTTCGTATCACAGCTCTTGCATTAGTTTTCTCAACGGCAGAATATTGTAGTGCTGTATGGATGAACAGTTCACATACAAGCAAAATAGATGCACAATTAAACACTGCCATGCGAGTCATAACTRRCACWTTAAAATCAACTCCCACTGAATGGCTTCCAGTACTGTCTAACATTGCTCCGCCTCTACTAAGAAGAAAACTTTTAGTAAAGAAACTATGGAAAAAATATAGAGAACATCCGCAAGATTTTCCAATATCGTCTGACCTGATTGCCCCCGAAAATCGATTAAAATCTAGAAAACCCTTCTGGCTTGAAACGGCAAATATTGAAAACTTCTTCGTTTTTGATGAGTGGCGCAACATGTGGTCAAATGTTCAACTTTTCAATAAAGATCTAATAGTAGATCCAACAATAAGAGTACCTGGAATGGATCAGCCAAGATGGGTCTGGGTGAAATTGAACAGATTAAGAACTGGTCAAGCTAGATGTAATGCTATGTTATTTAAATGGAATGCTGTTGAAAATCCATATTGTCAATGTGGTCAAGTGGAAGAATTTGTACAACATATTGTCGAAGAGTGTCGACTTACGAGTTTTCAAGGAGGCTTCACCGAAATTCATGAGTTGTCGCCATAAACTTGGTTATCTACTTTCAAAACTTTATAAATTCATGTATGGGGTACTTTTTTATGTACTGTCATACGAATATTGTACATACGAGTATTGTACATACCTACCTAGATATGCCCCATATGTTCGTTCATAACTTAAATTTAATTTAATCTAATCTAATTTAATCTAATCTAATTTTTTTTTAAATTAAATTTAAGTTATGAACGAACATATGGGGCATATCTAGGTAGGTATGTACAATACTCGTATTTGCAAAAAAAAACCTATAAGAGTACAAAAAAGTATATTGGCGATATTTTACGAGAAATACTCAGTTCTTCGCAAACTTTGCTTTCGATTGAGATAATTGCCAAATTGTTCAACTGTTTTTGGCTCATTGATGGTCTTAAATATTTTTTTTATCAATTTTAATTTGGAAAAGCTTCGTTCACCTTCAGCTACCGTTACTGGCAAGGTTAACAAAATTCTAAACGCGATGGCAGTATCAGGTAAATAGTCGATTAATTCATTTTGGTAAATATACTCCAGTATTTGAAGTGGGGTGATGGTTATATTACTTGTTGCAATTACCTCTAATTCATCCACTAAATCAAGCGCATTAATGTTCTTTTCATTCCCGTCAGTTATTAGTTTTACTTGTAAATCTATGCAATATTTTATTCAGGTATTTTTCTTTATCATAATTATTAAAATCCTGTATGTTATAAAGAAAGTTAAAAGTGTCATTATATTCTTTTATTAAATTGAACCTTTCATTTACCAACACGATTGCGGTATCTAAAACTGAAAAATAAAAATTGACGTGTTCATAAGCAAAAATTCTCTTTTTTGACCTCTTTCTAATGGTGGAAGCTTCTGGAAAGTCTCTAAATCTGCAGCTGTTTCTTTTGCAGTTCCCAGTACTTGGTCAAATTCCCTGTCTGATGTTTTTGTTTCTAAATATTTATTTAAATTTTCCAAAAGCTCTACGCATGTGGGTAGTAATGCTAATACTACTTGTTTGCAATATTTTGCAACAAAATTAATTTTAGTTAAGATATCGTGCCAAATGACCGTCAAAACAATAAATGTGAATAAACTGTTTTTTTTTTGTATGGATTTTTATTGTATGGATCAATTTTGCCGTCCCTAAAAATCTTACCAACTCTCCAGAAATGTTGCAAAAAAATCGAATTCATTCGCGGATGCGAACTATAGCTTTACGCCTTTGAATCCATAGTTGATGAATTTTACCAAACTCTTAGACAAAATGTTTGTGCCGTCCCCTTGACCTGCCGCCCGGGTGCGGTAGGTACACCTCTGGCACCAGGGTTGGCGCGGCCCTGTTCGCATTTTATTAATAGAAATATTATTTTATTAAGTGAAAATATCATTTTACCTGCTGTTTGGTCTTCGATAGGAGTAAATCGTAAAAACATTATTTAAGTGCACAATTTCTACATAGCGAAATGTTAAACTTAACTGATCAATTTTGTAGATATCTTGAGTACTGTCAATAATAAAGGAGTAAAATAAACTTGCCCTAATTTTATAAACTAGTTCCTGTTTAACCGAATTACCCAATAAATTTATGACTTCATTTTGTATAGTTGGGCTTAGAAAAGTAACAGATTTTTAGTTCGGTTTTCTAAAAGATTTCGTAAAACAAAGTCATATTTATAGAAAAGATTTATAATAGATAAAAACATTCCCGAATTTTTTGAATCAATATTTTCACTATGTCCACGAAAGGGCATATTACAGGAAGCCAACAAAAGTGAAACCTGAATAACACGTTTCAGATTTTTTTTCCAAATAGAAATTTCTTCAAAAATTACTTTTTGATTTTCAGCGTCAACTGTCTTATTTAAACTCCATTTATCATACATATAGGTATTACACAACACTGACTATGTTCATAATTTTCCTCATGCCGTTTAACAAATCTAAGGTAAAACGTTCACGGTCTGTAATATGCTCATTATCTATTCTGAATCCACAAGTTGTTCAATTTTTACTATCATAATGAAATTTTATTAGTATAATCAACAAATAATAACTAATCTTACCATCTTCATTTTTTCCATAAGTAGACGGTTCTAAATCAGCAGGTGTAAGTATGCTAATTTGAACACTAGCTACATCACTTTTTTTTGTTAAAAATGTGTCATATGTGTAATATGCTAATTATCTATTTCTATACTTTCCGAAGAAACTAAATAAAACACATTTATACATTATTTTTTAATGACATTATAAAATTAATTTTATCTTACGGGTATTTTATGTAGATTGTTCTTCAAAATCGATAATATTTCCAATTCTGAATCCACAAGTTATTCAATTTTTTCTATCATATTGAAATTTTATTAGTATAATCAACAAATAATAACTAATCTTACCATCTTCATTTTTTCCAGAAGTAGACGGTTCTAAATCAACAGGTGTAAGTGTGCTAATTTGAACACTAGCTACATCACTTTTTTTTTGTTAAAAATGTGTAATATGCTCATTATCTATTTCTATCCCTTCCGAAGAAACTAAATAAAACATATTTATACATTATTTTTTAATGTCATTATAAAATTAATTTTATCTTGCTTGTATTTTGTGTAGATTGTTCTTCAAAAGTCGATATTATTTCCAATTCTGAATCCACAAGTTATTCATTTTTTTTCTATCATATTGAAATTTTATTAGTGTAATCAACAAATAATAATTAATCTTACCATCTTCACTTTTTCCAGAAATAGACGGTTCTAAATTAGCAGGTGTAAGTGTGCTAATTTAAACATTAGCTACATCACTTTTTTTTGTCAATTTTCGGTAGTTTTGTTCTTTTTTTGTGTAACCTAAAGAAAATCCAACGATTCCAACGTTTATGTTTATTTTTTCGAGACAAGTGGACGAAAAATCTTGGTGCTCTCAAGCAGACATAATAATTTTTAGTCAGCACAATTTTAACCGCTAATAAGAAATTCAGATTTTAAACTTTCTTAAATTTGTAATTTGAAATTCGACTTCGAAAGAGCCCCTGCTGGCCCCTGCACAGTACGCCCCTCTATCAGACGACTTG